GAGAGAGAGAGAGAAGGATGGTTAGGTTCGATCTGTGAGACACCAAGAGTTGAGCGACTATTGATTAGTTGAAGAAAGGAAGCTCGTTGGTGAACTGTAATGATTGCAGATTCTGGTCTGATTAGAAATGCCCCCTATTCTGCTTGAAACATCTAAATGTTTTTATGATTAAAAAGTCAATGCCTTTACAAAATTTAAATTGCAATTGGGCAAATTTCTGTTCTATCCATAGTTGAACTACATTTAAATCTGGTGGTTACTCTACATTTTCGAATTACATTCTTCTAGAACTATGCTTCTGAAGAATAAGCCCAAGAGGAGATTGAGGGGGCCCATGAGTTGTTCACATTCTTCTTCTGATAGAGGCCTAGGGAAGTGCAGTGAATAAATGATATTGACTTCCCTAAAATCTGCTACATCTGCGACCATAGCCTCTACGTTTTCTACTATCAAAAGGGCTCCCTAAAATCTGCTATATCCGCATGAGATCATGTCAATATAATAACATGTAATGCCAATAGCGAGTTATAAACATCTAGATCATTGGTACTGTGGCCTTGCTTTCCCAAAGTGAGTACATAAGGCAAATGAAATTTATTTGTGGTTCTTAATTTTCTGCATGTGTATTTGTTTGTCTTGGTATATCTGCATGTATGAGTTTTTTACAAATATATATCTAAATGTACAAATATTTATTTAGGAATACACTCACTCGTACACAAAGAGTATCATAGCATAGTTACAAAACATGGTCTTGACTTAGATACAAAAGTTCTGTTGATTATCTGACAATGGATGTTACTTAGAATATTCCAAAAAAATACAAAATTAACACAAATATCTGCATACATGTGTGTTTGAAGAAGTGTAGGAAAAATCAAACTGGGATGGTTAACCGGACATGGGCCTGGAAGCATTTCAACCGCCCTAACCGGTAAATCGGCCGGTTCAACTGTTCTAACTGGGCAAGTCTGGGGCGGTCAAAGAAGTGTTAAAAAAAAATCATATTTAAAGAATGATTAAACAAAGCACATCCAAATGAAGTTGAAAATTAATGAAAATATAGATTTTAAAGAATCAATTTGTGCAAAGGGGTATTTTTGAAATTTTTTGAAAAAGATGGGAAAATATAAAAATAAGTATCAATGGCCAAAAAAATTTCCAATCTTTGCGATAATGAAAAAAACATTAAAAAATGCTTTATAAACAAAATCCTTTTTTTTTTGGGATTTATTTTTATTTCTATTTTAAAATTGCCCAGCCGATCACCAAAACCGGTTGAAACCAGAACCGGCTAGTTCCGATCTAACCGGGCGGTTACCGGTTAGATTGCCCGATTTTTCCTTCAATGGTTTGAATGGCACATATATGCATTTCCACCCTAGTACGCCTGAGGTGGGCACCCACTTAGGCATCTCAGGCGCCCGCTTAGGCATCCGCCCAACACTGGGCGCTAGGCTGGCCTGCTAGTGTTTTTTAAAATATTGGCGTTTCAATAACTATGGGTGGGCATTTTGATTTGCATAGTGGACTTGTTGAAGGGGATCTTATTGAAGTCGATTGTGAGATTTCTGGAATGTTTGATTCCTTTGCTTAACAAGGAGTAGACATAGCATGAGCACCGAGTTAATAATCCTGTGTTGTTCCTTATAATCGTTACATTTGCACTTGGTGTTGTATGGGCTCCAAAGGTGTATCAGCAGATTCCTTATACAGTCTTGAAAGAGTGATCAGCAGATTCCTATTAACCAACTTTCTATATGGTTATAAGAAGCATACATGCTAGCTGTCTTCTTAAAAGTTTCTTGGACCTTAGATCCTTTTTAACCCTTACCGAGCCCTGCTTCCTCCTTGATGCGATCTTTTCATACTTATTTACTCGTGCTCATCACTTTTGAGGATCAAGTTCTTTAATTCTCTCACTTGAATAACATGTTTAACTTGCTCATGTATCAATACTTGAATGACTGAGAATCATGTCTGTCTTACAATAAGTTCCTGTAAATATTTTTCCCTATACTGAAGGAAGGATTTGATGAAATAGTTCAATTGACAAAATGAAAAACACATGATTTTAAATCTATTATTATTTGCCTCCGAAGAAAGCTAATGCAAGAGAGGTTTCCTATTATCCTTATTTCTCCTCACAACCATGCCATTGCTGCCACCTCTACCTCTGCAGCGGCTGCTGATACTTCACTGTGGCTGGTGCTAGTGGCAAATACTATGGGCTTGAATAATGGTAATTATGTTAATCGCCCTGAGCTTTATTCCCCAAATAGATGGCGTAAGGCTTGGATGATGATAATGATGATGTTAATAGCTCTGAGGTTGGAACTCAGGTCAGGAAAACTGCCAGTAGTCTCTACCACGTCAATAGTAATGTGCAAGTGTGTGCTCCAAATTTTTATTACATATATTCTACAAAAGTCTTATTAGACCATAAAATAGATTAAAATGGTATCCTGAAGTTCAAACTCGAAACCTCTGTAAGTCAGGAAGCATACTCTACCAATCTGCCCGTCATGCATGTTTTTCTAAGTTGTGTCAATTTTATCATATATATAAGATAGAAGTATTATTAAATTGAAATAATATTTTTATGCACATGTCTTCCCATACTGGCTTTTATGGACAAAACATTTAGACAGTTTAGAAGCGTGTTGGACTCTAACTGTCATGTCAATGGCCTTGGAAACACCGCTTAAAACCCTAGATCTATCGTCTGTCAAAAGAACGGTTCAGAGTTATTCTTTGAGTGGAATTGATTTGAAGAATTTTTGTCTTTGAGGGGGAATTAACTTGAATTTTTTGAGTTCTTCATTTATACTTTTCTTGGGGCGAGTAAAGATGTTCTGAAAATTTTCAGATAAAAAACATCACCCTATGTTTTGGTGGGGGGCTCGACCATTTGTTAGGTAGTCTGTCAGACCACCTTATACGTGTCCAGACGAGAGAGAGAGAGAGAGAGAGTATCCGTGTTCATGTGTCAATGGCAGTGAAATTACAAGTTGCTTTTTGTATGTGGTTGACATCTTTATTGCCTCTTCTTTATTAACCTGTGAACTGTTTTCAGGAAGCTCTAGCCTTAAAGCGAATGAACACTTGACTCTGTCAATGGCAGAAGAGAGAGCAAATCGTTCGTGTGGAGTGGGTAACTCCTGTGCTATAGGAAATCGAAAGATGCATAAAACAAGATATTTTGTAATAAAAAGCTTGAACCATCAGAATATTCAACTATCGATTGAGAAAGGTATTTGGGCCACTCAAGTGATGAATGAGCAGATTTTGGAGGAAGCATTTCATGTAAGTTTGTTTTCTTTCTTATCATCATCCTTCATATTTTATTTTATTTTATGTGCATTGTTCATTAAAATAATTCGGTTTATGATTTGTTGCCTATTTTTATGCTTCTTATTGGAATTTATGTTTTCTGCAGAGTTCGGATAGAGTAATTCTAATATTTAGTGTCAACATGAGTGGGTTTTTCCAAGGGTATGCACAAATGATGTCTCCTGTTGGTTGGAGGCGGGAGAATGTTTGGAGTGGGTCAAGTGGTGGAAGTAATCCATGGGGCCGGACTTTCAAAGTAAAATGGCTCCAATTGAATAATTTGGCTTTCCAGAAGACACTTCATCTCAAGAATCCACTAAACGACTACAAACCTGTGAAAATAAGCCGAGACTGCCAGGTCTTCCCACTTATTTGATTCCTCATTTTCAACTGATTTCCATAGAAGTTCTATCCCTGTTCATTCTGAGTTTATGTGAAATGGAATTCTTGTGATCATGTAATTTCCAGGAGTTAACCCAAGAAGTTGGGGAAGCTCTGTGCGAACTTTTAGATGGAAGAATTGATATGGATGGCAAACAGAAGAGGTACTAAACCTGTACAACCTCTATAGTTTGTGTTTTGCTGGTGTTATCTTTGTAACATGTGTTCCTGAGATTTGATTCCCTTTCTGCAGGGGCAATGCTTTTAGAGATGATTTACTTTTTAAAAGACCCTGCAGGGAATCCTCGAGCCCTTTGCCAGACGAGGATTATTCTCAAAATACCTGGGCCAGGACACCAATGCACTATCCTCCCTTGTGTTATCCAAATGTCGCACTAGCTGAAACGCAGCAACAACCGTTATCACTAGGAACCTCTTCCCGAGGATCTGTGTTAGATGTCCTGCCACCTCACTTAGAAGGACCAAATGTCACCTGTTTTAGGCAACCTTATATTCCTGGGAAGCTAGGCAGTCGACATGCTGACAGAGATAGCCTTTCTCGAATGGAAATAAATAAGGCATTAATTGATGAAAATTTTCGTTTTATGGATGGCCTGTCTGATGAAGATATTCTTGATATGGTACTCTCAATATTCCTTTTGCTTGTGATGGATTACTGTAAAGCTAGTTTGGCTTGTACATTGGTAGCTAGTTGTTTGTAACTTTACTTAGGAATTTCTAATAATTTGAGCTTCAAATTGGATTTTTTAATTCTAGCTTTTATTAGCTGTAAGTGGATTTTAGCTGGAAGTTGTTTCCCCAAACCTACAATAGTTTGTGTGATGTTTTATTTCCCCGGAAATCTATTGGCTTGAGTTGGTTTAAATTCGTCTTAGTCTCCAATCAAATACATTGTTTAGTTCTTTTTCGTGATAGGGCTTCTCACTGATATAACAGCAACCATGTGTTACAATCCTAGAAGGCAAACTGCATTGGGTGTTACTTATTCTCTTTGAGTTCATTAGAAACGCTATGGCTAATTAGAGCTTAGCTATAGCTTCAGTCAGAACTCCTGAAATTTCTTAATTGAGCCATTTTGAGAAAGTTATTTGCGGTAACTATTACCAGGAGGAAGCATCTTGGATAAAAGATGTCCTCAATGTTCTCATGCATGTGTTTTGCTCTATGCATCTTTCTCAATTTTTTTTGGGCTTACCTTTGAATATGAAAAACTGGCTCATAGATATTTAAAAGGAGAAAATTAAACACACCGGTGGAAAGCAATCCACCATTTATATTTTAATATAAATAGCAAAGAGTCAGGAATCAAGTGCCATGTTAAGTAGGTTTTTTTATCTTAAAGAAAAAATGATGCTAAAGTGGAGAGGAATGATGGAGACCATGCTAGCCAAAAGTGTACTAGAACAGGTAGAGGCTTGGAGAACACATGGATATTGGGCAAGGGTTCGGCCCAAATACTTTCATTTGTTTGTTAGAGTTTTCCTCAACAAGTATCTGTTTCTGCTGTTGACCAACTCCTCTTCATAATGTCTTTTGAAATGTGAATTGCGGTTAAGTCATATTAGAATGTTAGTCTATTTCTTGAGGTTTGGTTATTTTGTTAACCATTATGAAGTTATGTGATAGTAGGTATTTTAGGTTAATGATTAACTTCAAAATTATTTGCTGTCAGAGATTCTGTATCCAGTTATCCACTATCCCCTGATAGAAACTAGAAACTTGAAACTAGCTTCATAAAACATTCAACAATCAACAACCATAAGCACAAATTTACACCATAAGCACAAAAACACAACCATCAACAACCATAAGCACAACCATAAACAACCATAAGCACAAAATAGTGATACTACAAACCAAAAGTCAAGCTCAAGAAGAGTTAATAGTTAATAACTTAATACAATCATCCATATTGAGAGTCAATTTTGAAATTTGAAGTCAAATTTTGCCCCCGATTTCTTATCACAAATTCACCCCAACATCCCCAAATTAACAATCAAAAGCATCAAATCAACATCCAAGTATCAAACAACCACCAAATTGAAGATTTGGATGAAAAATAAATTTCCGCCAATTTTTTGTTCCCTCAATTTGATGCAAAAAAAGCCACAAAAGTGGCTGGAAATCATCGTTTAGGGGGTTTAATAGCCCCCCAAACAGTTTCCCCCATTTTTGGATGGTCAAAAAGACCATTTTGCCCCTCCTCGAGGGGCAAAATAAAAAACAATTTCGAATGAAGGGGATGAGGTGCGATGCAGGGTGCGGCTACAATGTGTCCTGATGTGGCACATATGTGACCGCATAGGTGAAAAGCGCATATGCGGTCAGTTTTGATGCGAAGCCCATCGCATACTGCATGATGTGGCTGCATTTTAAAACACTGATGAGGTGTCTCAAGATGCCATGAAGTGGAAATCACCAGTATGAGGTGTCTCAAGATGCCACGAGGTGGCAATCGCCAGTATGAAGTGCCTCAAGATGCCACGAGGTGGCAATCACCAGTAGGAGGTGTCTCATGATAGCATGAGGTGGCCCTTAAAAAATGACACATGATGCCATGTGTCGAGTATAGGTGGCAATCACCAGTCCCACACTTATAAATACCCCATCAGCCGCCATCAACTGGTTCTCTCTCGACCTAAACACCTTTGATTCTAGTTCTACTCCGGCAACGATAATAGCATATTTATCTCAAAGTGATCCTTAGGTAAGTGGCTTCATTTTTCCTGTAAAATCATTATTTGAAGAAAACTTATATTCCTATAGTATTCCCAAAAATAATCCTGCATTTAATCATAATATTTCTGAAACTATAAGTTTTACGTATCTTCATATATAACTATAATATTTGTAGCATCAATCTTAAATACGGAAAATGTTATATATATGCAAATATTATACGTGTTATATGCACGGGTTATGTACAAGTGTTATGCGCAAATAATTACTTTGAATTATTTTATGGAAAAGCATTGTTGTCTGACATCTACTACATTGATATATAGCCTGTAATTGACATAATACGATCTTTTAAATTGATATGCATGATAGTATGACGTAGTGATGCCCCTCATGACTATATGTACAACATAGAAATGTTCAGGCTCCTTGTAATTACATATGATAGATATGTGTGCATGGCAACATGCTTCTAAATAAGATATGTGTGCATGGCAACATGCTTCTAAATAAGATATGTGTGCATGGCAACATGCTTCTAATAATGTATGTGTGCATGGCAACATGCTTCTGATAAGATACGTGTGCATAGCAGCTTGCTTCTAATAAGATGGGTGTGCATGTTAACATGCTATCAATAAAATATGAGTGCATGGAGACATGCCTCGTTAGGATTGGATTGTGTTTGGAGGTCGCATCCCCAAAACTTATGTGCGGCACTACTCATTGGGACCCCCTTTGGTAGTGTAACACTCTCACCAGAAGGGCACATGAGAGGGCCGTGTCTTGTAAGGCCAGTGCCTATCAAAAAGCTCCAATGCATACTGAGGTTGTGTGTGTGTATGAGGTACTACACAACGGATTTACCCATTGGTGGTGCTTCATCCTGTGGGATAGTAGAAGTTTTAACCTTGAAACCAAGGCCTGGAACCCGAGGTTAGTGCTTCTATTGCAGGACTTCTGTTGTTGTGAATACTTGTCTGACCATATCTGATATTTGATTGTAGTAATATGATCTTGATATGATCATGTGCATATGGTCGATGTATTATGCTTATTTTCTTTGTTTAATAAGGAATACAGGATATGTGTAAGATTAGAAGTGAATCTGTTTAATAACATATATTAGAATGCATGAAATCAGTATGTCAAAATTCTGCTTAATATGTGTTATTTTAGAAAATATTTACACTCTCTAAACATGATTTGTGGGGATAATGATGGTCATTTACTGAGTAGTCAAACTCATCAAACTATTTTGAAATGTTTCTCAGAGTAATCGCAGCCTCATGGTTCGTATATACAACAAAAGTAGTTGGAAGAAGGTTGTAGTCATGGATGAATTCCCTTTTGTATTTTTTGTTTTATTACAGTTGTATATACACATAGATCTTCATGCAAATTATAAGTGTGAAGTAAACGCTGTACAAATCGAAAAGGTAAGTGGAAATTTTGTTTTGATGTAATATTTAGTGAAAATTTCAAATTTGTTTTTGGTCGTTAAGAATGGACTGTCACATCTCAGGAATTCTAGTATTATAAAACTTGGGGTGTGACAATAATACATGGAAGAAAAGCCCAGAAAGAAAAATGTGGTTGGTTGCAATTTGTGTATAAGGTGAAATATAAATCAGATGGTAGTAGATTCAAGGCAAGGTTGGTAGTTAAAGGATTTAATTACAACATGGACTTGATTATGATTCAGTCTTCTTGCCAAGTTTGTGGCACTACACATTATTTTATCATCAGCCTTGCCCTGTGATTCGCCACTCTTCTTGCTGCATGTAAAGAATGCATTTCCTCATGGGGAGTTAAAAGGAGAGGTTTACCTGGAGCAGTCACAGGGATTTAGTGAAGTAGATTTAAGAGAGTATGTATGTAAATTGAGTCGCTCAATTTATGGATTGAAGCGAGCTTCAAGAACCTGGTTTCAAATTTCTCACAATGCATTAAAGGAGTGGGGATTTAACAGAGCAACAGTTGACCACTCCCAGTTCATCCACAGAAGTGATGCAGGTATTATAGGTGTGCTTTTGTATGTTGATGATTATCATTACAGGTCTGTCATATGTCTTAATAGCTGATGTGAAGGGATTTCCTAATGATAGTTCCGAATGATAGATTTGGGAGTGCTAAGGTATTTTCTAGGGATAGAGGTTGATTGAGATGCTAATGAAGTTAAGCTGTCTCAACAAAACTATGCCTTGAATTTGTTACAAAAAGTCAATATGGTGAACTGTAAGCCTTCAACAACACCTGTTGCCATGATTAAAAGGCTGATCAGGGGTGAAGGGGAATTTTTAAGAGAACCAAGGGTCTTTATATTATCTAACACTAACACGACTGAAATATCATATGCAATGAATCATGTATATCAATTTATGAATATGCTTTCTTCATCAGATATGGAAGCCTTAAAGAAAGTAATCAGATAAATTTAATGAACAATGAGCCATGGCATAGTCTAAAATGAAAATGATGTGAAGAATCTGCAAATTGAATCAATAATGAGATATTCAGTGCTGATTTGGCTGGTGACCTAGATTCAATTGTGTTTATGCTATGAAAAACTTGATATCGTGGAGTAGAAACATAAGAATATAGCTTGGTCAAGAACTAAAAATGAATATCAGGTGTTAGAAAGTGTTATATCAGAGATGGTATGGATCCCCAGTGTTTTGTGATAGCAAGAGTGCCTTAGCCTTGGCAGAAAATCCAGTACTTCATGATTGATCTAAACATATTCAAATTGATTTTCATTTCATGTGGGAAAGATTGAAGCCAAAGATGGAAGCAAGGTTCGTGGGCACAACTGATCAAATGGTAGATATATTGACAATATTAAAGAAAGAACATTAGGATTTGAATGACAGGTTGTACATGTTAAAACATGATGTAGCACTTGAGGGGTAGTAATTGGTCAGGGGATTTTAGTAATTTG